GGCACAACTGGCGCGAAGGCGCTCGCGACAAGTACGCGGAGAGCGGCAAGTGATTGCCTGTTCTATTACGTGACGGCGGCGGGGGACCTGCGCTACGGCATCAACGCATCAGGACAACAAGGGAGTGTTCTGAGCGGTAGTCCACGACAGGGCCGCTGTGGCGATGCTCGACCTCGTACGCACACGGACGGCCATCGAGTTCCTAGTAGGTGTCGCCTTCAAGACGACGCGTGATGTGACTCGTTCTTCTATTACTCTCTTACACACACTTCATCTCCCAACTACATCTCTGCTCTCTCTCTCTCTCTCTCTCTCTCTCTCTTTCTCTTCTTCTCTTCTCTCTCTCTCTCTCTCTCTCGCTCTCTCTCTCTCTCTCTCTCTCTCGCTTCTCTTCCTCTCTGTCTGCTTCTCTGTTTCTCTCAATCTCTCTCTCCCTACTTGCTTGCTTTCTCTTCTAGCTCTCTGTTTCCGTGTGTCTCACTCACTCTCTCTGCTCTCTTTCTCTCTCTCTCTCTTTCTCTCTCTCTCTCTGCTCTCCTCTAGTTCTCTCTGTCTTTCTCTCTCTCTCTCTCTCTCTCTCTCGCTTCTCTCTCGTCTTCTCTCTCTCTCTCTCTCTCTCTTGCTCGCTGTCTCTCTCTCTCTCTCTCTTCTCTCTCTCTCTCTCTTCTCTCTCTGACGCTATTTCCCCGACTAGATCTCTCCCTACACTTGTCAGTCCAAAAAGTTTGCCTCTTTTTCTTCACCATCTGACTTGTTGCATTGTTGCTTAGACATTTGATCGAAAAAGGTGCCTCATCCGACATGACACTCTAACAAATCTAGACGAGCGTTATAGTAGAGGCATGTGCTCTTGGTCATATGTTAGGTTTAGGTTTGTGTGTACTTTGCCACGTTTTGGCCGTGATGGATGCTGTTCAGTGTCATCGTAGCATCGTAGTATAGTCAAGATAGAAAACGTTGAACTGCCGCCTCCATCCCGTATTTTCCGTCGCCACAACAGCAGTCAGATCAAATGCTGTCGCCTTTAGAACAGTGTCACAGTGCAGGTGTGTGGGTCTCTCGCCGGACCACCTCCTCCCTCGGTCTTATCTCCTGCCCACCATACGTAGCCCGCCACCCGCGCCGACGAACGAAGACACCCCCACTCCTCCCTCCTCCGCTATCAGTCTCTCTTCGCGGCTCGCTGTTGTCCGGCATTGTCCGCGCGGGCCGGGACGGCACGCATGGCCGAGGTCAGAAATAGTTTACAGCAGGCCCGCCCGTACGCGGCGTGCAAACAATGTCGGGCCTCCCGTCGGCGGGGAAATCACGCTGATTACATCAGGTATTATTCCCCCTCCCCTCCCCCTTCGCCTCTTGTTCTTTCTGGCTGTTGTGTCTTGTGGCGGTACGCTTGTGCTGTTACACGATATAGGCATGGCCACCGAATGTGTTCTACGCTGTGTCAGTGAGGCGGTGGCATTGTCTTGCCGGCTCGCGCGTTGCGCAACAGCCTCGTGTCCGAAATAGCCAGGCGTGAATGAGAGATGATGGTTGTGTGGCATCTGCTGCTACTGGGGCGGGATTACGCCAGTTGAAGCGCGTTTGCTTCTTTGTGAAACATCGGCGTGCGCGTCTTTGTGGTGGAACGTGGCTGCCGTGCGCGGCGTTTGATCGGTTTAGTATATTGGCAATGGCGGGCGATGAGCGAGATCGGAGAGAGACAATGAGGATGGTTCGTGATGGCTGCTGCTGTGCAGCGGCAGATGTTTGACTTAATTCGCTGCGATCTAAGAATGTGCGGGACACGTTGGTCGTAAAACGGTCGTGCGGGGACGAAACGTGTGGGGCGGCGCACCTGCCACATGTAAAGATATGAGCGTGTGTGTGCGATTTGCGGTGTTCGTGCTTGCGTTTCGTTCGGTGAGTGTGCGGTTTAGTAGGTGGGTGCAGCAGCTGGTGGAAATGCGACAGGAAAGGTCGATAGTCTGCCTCATATAGGAAAGATCCCCCTGTATATTAAGTGTGTCGTGTATTAAGTTATTCGATTCGTGATTCCCTTCGATCATTGTGCGTTTTCGTCGGTCTGTCGTTCGTAGGGCAGTTTGCGAACATGGCGGCTGTGTGCCGCGCTGCTCGCGGAGTGGAGCGGAATTGAATGGCTGCCATTGTGGACGCCGGTAATTCTATAACTTCCGCTGCTTTATGTCATTGGTCAACAACTCTTCTAACTTCTTCAAAACCAGACTGCCAGCACTATAGGTGGTACGCGTGTGCGTCGCTCGTGTGGCGTGCGGTACATGGGCATGTATGTTGTCGTGTGTGTGTGTGTGTGTGTGTGTGTGTGTGTGTGTGTGTGTGTGTGGTGTCGTGTGTGCGTGGCTGCGTCGCGTGGTACGTTGCGTGTGCGGTAGCGTACATGTTGTGATGTTATACTTGTAGTTGCTGTTATGTTGCGCCGGCTCATATAGGTCTCGCGACGAGAGCGAAGTCTGTATTATGCTCCAGGTACACGGTGCGCACGCACGCGTGTGGTATATGTGTAAGTGACGATCGCGGTGGCTGTCCCGGATGGTGGTAACGGCGGCGCGCACAGAGAGACATTGTGCGCCTGGGCCTGTTTTCATGACGACACCTCCCCGTCCAGCCGCCCGCCCGTCCTTCCGTCGGCGTCTGTTGAAAGCTATACGCCCCCACCGTCCTGTTGCATTTCATCGCTCTCTCGACGCTCCCTCACACCCCTCTCCCGCGTTATTGTTGGTCCCGGTGGCGGTGACAGACAGAGCATTCAGCGTGACAGTGGGGAAGTGTGCAGGGGTGTGTGTGTGTGTGTGTCTGTGTGTGTGTAGGCGGGTTACTGGCAATGTCGATGCCGACTTGGCCTGGCAGAGAGGAGAGAGGAGAAAGAAGAGCCGAGAAAAAGCGCGGCGCGGCGCGACGAAGCGCAGAGAGAAAGAGTCGTTACCAGCGTTTCTTATTACGGCTCGTATTGGGTGTGTGTATGGCCACGCACATAGTCATCATCGTTGTCGTCGCCCACAGCCCAAAGTGCATAGCGGAGGAGGCGGGAGGGGAAAGCCGGGGAGAAGGAGAGGGGAAGCCGGAGGAGAGAAGCAGGGGAAGCCGGTGGGAGAGAGTGTAGGAGATTCCAAGCTATACCCAGCGTCGATTGTATGTATGGCCTGCCAAGCTATCGAATGGCTGACCCCCACACGGTCACGGGGCACGTGTTTCTCACTTGTTATGGCCGGCCGGCCATTCATTAGGGGTGTAGTTAGTATAGTGTTAAATGTTTCTGCAATTACACCACCTTAAAACGAATCCGCGCAGAGCAGCAAACGCTTCCGCATTCGTATAATGATGGAAACGCTGATAGCGCTGCTGCTGTTCGCTTTGCGTTTCCTCGACCGTTTTCCGCAGATTTTTCGTATTTTGCTTGTTTTATTTCTTTCCTTGCCATCACGGCCTGCACGCGGCGTACCTCTTCCGTTACTTGCCCTCCGTTCGTATCTCGCCACCCGCTAAGGCGCTTCCCCGCCCACCATGATACTGCTCCACTCATTTTCCTCGTAGCGTGGGACATTCGTGATTGATATAGGTGTTGCGGCAGGATGGAGGGTCTTGCCCGGCAGCCGTTATACGACTATGTGAACAAGTTTGCTACTTATGCCCAGCACCCCGGACCGCGCGCGAACGCACGCCACTGCACGCACACGCGTGCACACAGTGCAGTGATAGTCGCTCACACCTGGCAGGCTGGCACGTTCATTGTTTACTACGTGGAGATCTTAGATCAGGCGGGCACGCGCCACGCCGCTCGCCACACACACAGCACACACCACGTACGACTGTAGTTGGGCTCTGTGTGCGACGTATGACATATATTGCACTTATATAACACGTATACGCCGGAATGTAGTAGGAAAGTCCGCCCACTGTCTAGCGAGCAGCAGCCAGCCACCCCTGTCTCGGGTGTGGCTTGGTTCGTGCACGCACGCCACTACCACGCACTCACACGCACTCTCCCCCTCCCTATCGCATTCATGTGTTTCTTCTGCCTGTATAGCTCTTTTACTCATGATAGTCTCTATATATCATTTCCTGTACATCTATATACAGTTTGTTAATATGTATATTTATATATGGATATCTTTTATAATACCAGCACATTGACGATTCCTAAACGTATATTTTGCCTGTCTCATCTATGGACAGGCGTTCATTGGCAGATATTTATATGGTTCTCTCTCTCTCTCTTTCAGTCCATATTATACACATTGACGATGCCGTGCATACTTCAGGTCTCTCCATCTCTCGTCTCTGGCCAGATAGCGGTTCCACAGCCACTGAACAACGAGAGCGCGAGGACCACCAGGCACCAGGACACCAGCAGCGACCGGCAGCGGCGGCGGCACGGCAGGCGCGTGACCGGACGCTGCGCCACGCTCACGCTCGACGAACTCGTGCCGCGCCTCCCGTCGATGCCACCACAACTACGCGCACCTGGCAGCGTTGAGCCTGCACTTGACGCAACGGCTTTCAACGTGGCAGGTGTCGCCGAGTCGCAGACGGATCGACGAGCCGCCTCCGACGCGACGAGTTCTGACGCGTACGTGTTCGTCAGCCGGGCCCGCTGCGCCTCGGGGAGCCGCATCGCTCATACAGGTGATGTGCCATGAGCTGCGTACGTACGCACACACGCGCGTGCACGCACGCACGCATGCATAAACACACACAAACACACACACAAACACCACTCACACACGGCACGCACGCACAGTGCAGCACATAAACATAACCTACACGTACGCCATACGACACAAACACACACATCACACACCAACGCACGCACGCACCGCGCTGCGCACACACACACACACACACACACACACACACACACACACACACAGTGTACAAGTAAACAACAGGTCGTACAGGTAAACCGGTAAATACAGGTAAAAACAATTGGTTGCATAATCGTAGCACGAAACACCGGTGCGATTGTCACACATAGGGGAAGCACAAAATCCAAACTGATTATTCAGGATTATCGTTGGCGGGTGAGGGGGTGAAGGATGCTGCAGTCTGTCATAATCATGCAAACACATCATGTGTATGATAATGTAATGATGGAACTAGATGACTTGTCATGTAACCAGCGTAAATATCTAACCACGTAACGATACGATGTCTGTAACGACATGATGTCGCGCTGTCGAGACACATAACACCGATCGCACGCCACGCTCCACCACCGCTAACAACCGTATCCTCCCTCCTCACTTCACTAGGTACTGAGAACGGAGAGCGTGTACGTGGGAGGCATCGGATTCGGCTTGACCTCATGCGACCCCAACCGCATCTCGCCGCGCGAGCTGCCGGAGGATTCGGACCTGCTCATCGATCGGCCCGAGTACTGGGTGGTTAGCAAGGATGTCGCCAACACGCCGCAGCAGGGCGACGAACTCAGCTTCATGATCAACTACAACGGTACGTGTCAACACGGCCGAGTGCCACTGCGTCGCAGAGTCCCTCATCCTGTCAACATCCCTTAACATGTGTGTCACAGACCTTGTCTATTATTAGCTAAGGGGCTATTATTATATCATAATATAGCTAATATTATTATAACGAATTAAAATTATTATTATTATAGCTATATTAGCTATAAGTTGTATAGCGATGCCTTCATCGTCACTGTCGATGCTTATCGGTGCGTTACTTGTTGTTGTTTACAGGTGAGGTGCACTATAGTCGTAACGGAGGGCCGAGCACCATAGTGATGTACGTCGACGCGACGCAGCCGCTCTTCATGTTCTTCGACGTCTACGGCAACACGCAGGCGATGCGACTCCTCGGCTCCCTGCACGCGAACATCGCGCGAGCCGCCATGACGCGCCCCGCGTCCTCCCCTTCCTCCCACACCGCCGCTCACACCACCCCGCCACGCCGCCCACCACCCCCAC